AGGGCTCCCTTATTCTACAGCTCCCAACCCAAACCCCAAGCCCCAACCTAAAGCCCTAACTTTTAACCCTCTGCCCTTAAACCTCTACATAAGATCGGTGAATGCCCGAGAGAAAAAACCTTGGCCGAAGGTAGCCCTGGCGGATGTCACCCTGGACCCGAACGAGTTTCAAATTGCGCATGACAGAGCCGCCTTCTTGGCGGGGGCACGGGTGCAGAAGCTCCTCGAAACGGGAGGTGCCGGGGGTTTCTGTTTGCAATGTTGGGAGTCCCTCATTTCTCAAGTAGATTCTTTGAAGCCTCAAGAGAAAGACAACCAGAGGTTACAACTACATTCACTTTGAGTCATATTTTGAATATTCTCATGAAGTATCTCATCAGGAAAGTGTATTATGCAGGACTAGATGCACTCGCAGGACTAGATGCACTCCGAATTGCTCGCATTGTTTCAGGATCAAGCTGCTACCTGCCTTTAAAGTGCCCAGTGCCAGACAGCCCTGAAAATGGCTGATCGGGATGATTTGATGTTTTTCCTGATGGGCACAACGTCCAATATGCCGGCAGCCCCGCTGGTCGTTCCAACAACCCCATCCCCAAAGCCACGAGGCCCTTTCAATGAAAGCCCTTCCTCAGGTTGCACCGGAACCCCTCTGACCCAACCCGAGAAGAAGAGCCTTGCCTCTTCCTCCGAGTCGGAGATGTCGAAGGTGAACCGCCTGCCATACCGGAAGGCCAGCACAACATCCCTAGGTGCAACTCCTAAGAAAAAGGATGGTGTGCCCCGAACGTACTCCCTACCCCTTGACTTAGCAACGCCAAACTCTGCTGCTGAGCCCGAGCCCGAAGACAGTCAGCTGCAGAACGAAATCGACTCAGTGTCCAAGTCCTTGGAGCATGACTTGAAGATGAGCGAGACCAAGCCAAAGCAGGGCAAAGGCAAGCGTAAAGGAGGAGGTAAGGGCCGAGGCAAGACTACGAGTAAAGATGAGGACAAGGCGCAGGAGGATGAAGTCTCTGAGGAGATTAATGACGAGAACTCAGAGGAGCTTTGCGAAAGGCTCTTCGAGGAGGCAGACAAGAAGTATGCCGAGGACCAGGAGGACGAGGATTTGAAGAGTGAGGATCCCATCGACAGTGATGAAGAGCTCAACAAGCCCAAGAAGAAGAGCAATCCCAAGCGTACCACGAAGGCGGATCATCACTCCAAATAGTATGTAGCACCAGTACCCCCAAGAGAATTCGGTAGTCTAGGCTTGACAGGAGGAATTGCTCCCAGGCCCACATTCCCTCATGCCACATCCTGAGTTCCAAACGTACGGAAGTAGGGTTTAGGGGTTAGGGTTTAGGGTTTCGGGCTTAGAATTTAGGATATTTGTGGTCACCCCTAAACCCTCAACCCTTAGCCTACTAAACCCTTCACCTTTACAGGTAGCCGGCTCGCCTTCGAAGAACACCTTGTCCTGCATGGTGAAGAGCCTTGTGGGGCGGGATGCGGTGGCAAGCAAGAAGGCGAAAGCGGCTGCAAAGCCCAAAGGGAAGCCGGGTCGACCCCGCAAGAATGATGATACCAAGGGTGCAAAGGGTTCCAAGGGCTCCAAGGCTACAAAGGATGCAGGCGAGCAGGGTGAGATCAAAAAGAAGAGGCCCCACACGGCCCTCATGAAGGAGTGGCAGAAGTTCCGCAAGGAGTATGTGACTAAGCACAGCGGCCAGAAAAAGGTGCAGGAGCTGAACAAGGAGGCTGCTGAGGAGCTTTTCGGCTTGTTCCATTATCATCGTTTCCAGCTTCGTTATGAAAATGCTAGAACCCTACTATGCCAACAAATTGAAGCTCCCTAACTCCAACGCCCTAGTCACCTAGCCCATTTCAGAAATTCTATGTAAAAACCTTGAGCCCTAATCTTTATCCGGAATCCCAGGTGGAAGAAGCACCCAATGCGGCTAGATGCCATGAGAGGTCTCACAACGAGTGAGTTGAAAAGGCGCCGGTGGGCCTGAGGTAGCTAGCAGCTACCACGATGAACATGAGATTTTGAGACACTGTGTGCCATGCGTGTGATTACATACGCTAGAGCAGGCACCTGATAGCTCAACTTGAATGTTGCCCCTCGAGGCAATCATTCTAGTCTTGTCTTGGGGCAACTCAGTCAACTCGTGCCGGGAGGAGGATCATGACTCTACATGCGCGAGAAAAGGAAGCCCTACCGTGAGATGCGGAGCATTTGGGAAATCCACGCTTTTGGCCTGTTCAAAGTGATAGTGCTTGCACATCTTAAACACTGTATGCAGGACCCAACAAATCGCCAGGAGCTGCTACTACTTGGAGTTTAGGTTGTAGCTTTCGGACCAATGGCTCACATCCTAGTTACTACATAGGACGACCCCCAACCCTACAATAGTGGTATCATAGGAATATAAGAGGGCCCTCATATAATCCTTCTTATCACTTATCTTCACTATTACTCGGTGGGTGGTCCACCTAAATTGTTCCATCCGATTTTGGAATGCAAGCTCTTCATTTTATTCAAGTTGAAAGGTTGCACAACCCTAACACCCAAATCCTAAGGAAATTCAAATCCTGAACGTATCTTCCGAAATAGCATTGCCAGACCCCAACCCCCCAAGAATAATATCAGTCTCGGAACATTCATTGTAGTTTGCCTAGCAGTCCTACCTAGCAACCAACCCCCCTAAATGAACTACCCTTGAAATTCAAGCCCCTAACCACCCTGAACCCGGAGGTGTTCTCAAGGAAGCCACCAATCTGGAGTGCAAGTGGAGGTCCATGGAAGCTCCTATCATTTTGGAAGTGATGGAGGGTGGCTCCAGGAGATTGCGGGATGCGCCGCTGTCTACCATCATGTTTCTGGGCTGGGGTTATTGTTGTGTTCTGTCTCCAGGGGAAAGTAGAAATTAGTCTACTCCAAGGCAGCTTACAGTTGAGATGGAAAACAACGGAGTCGTGGACTTGACGTACAACAGCCACAAGCTTGAACGACCCTTTGTTGAACTGGTGTAGGATTCTAGAGTTGTACTTGAAAATGGCCAGAAAAATGCCTAGGTGATCCCTTCTCCATTACTCCGGATGATGCCTCCCTTCCGTTGGTGTTCAAGTATACCAAGCAGACGAAGCCCGAGACTTTCAAGTTCACCAGCGCCGCATCCTATTTCGACAACAAGGAGCTCATGGAGAGCAAGAATCTCAGGACAGCCTGGAGGGTTTCTTTCTCGCCAGATGAGGAGGAGTCCCAGTTGCTAAAATTACCACTATTTGGAGTGCCTAGGCCATAGGGACTAAAAGATCGCAATTAATTACATCCCCCCTTGGTTGCCTTGAAACTTGTAGATTGTTCGTAGAATGGTAGATCCTGTAGTGCTAGGTAGCCTTTTTAAACCTTGAACCTTTAAGCCCAAGAATATGTTGGACCACCATCATTAGTGGAAAGCCTGGTCCCAAACAGCAGGAAGTTTCGCCAAAGAAGCCCTTGTATATTCTTGCACGCGCGACCACGTTGCAGAAGCAGCAGGTCATGAGATTGTTGTGAGGTACAGTGCACAGAGTGCCTGATACGATGGCGATTCCATCATCAAGTTTTGATTCTGCTCATGATGCTTTCAGTGTACGGAGTGCCTGATGAAACGAACGGCAATATGTCTTGCCTGCTTGGGGCGCTAGCACCCTGAGCGAAAGTGCTTGTGTGTGCATCACGAGCTTACTCTGGGCCAGCTCAAAGAACAATTTGCAGAAAAGCTATTCCCTACTTTCGAACAAAACTCTGAAGAAACCCTCCAACCTTTAACCGAAGCCTGGCCCCAGAGTGCTCCTTGCCACCGGGATCGGAGCGATTCGCCATCAAGGAAATGGCGCTTCTTTTTGTGGATTTGGGACTTAAGGTTTAGGGTCTGGGGTTTGGGTTGAAGGGCTTGGTGGGGTTGCAGTTTGTGGTTTAGGTTTAGGAGAGTTTGTGGTCTAGTTGTCGTCTGGGTTTCGGAGTCAAGCGCTGTAGCTTCAAGGTGAGGGGCTCGAGACTTTAGTGTTAAGGATATTGCCCCCACTCAGTAACAGTTGGATAATAAGTACAATATGGCTCTATATAGCCCTTAATAGGACCCATAATATAGACTGTTACTGGGTGGGAGCAGTACCCAAGGTTAAGGGTTTGGGCGTGAGGACTTGGGGTATAGGCTTTAAAAGAAAGGGGGTGACAGACGGTCTTGGGGTTAAGGGTTTACCTGCTTAAGGTGATGTAATGGTCCAGCATGGGGGCCCTGAAGTTCTGCTCGGGCTTTGGTTCGTAACAGCTTCTGATTCTTCTCCAATATCCCCACATTCCTCACTCCCTACTAAGAACCAGTAAGTTTAGATACTTCCCTAACCCTATAGCCCTAACCCTAAATCCTGATTGGGGGCTTGCACGGTCGAAGCAGACTACAGCCTGAAAAGCTTGAGATGCATCAGCAGCAATTGTATTCGGCATAAGAGCCAACACATTCGTGCCCTCACCAGGTCTTACAATTCAACCTTAGAGCTTCGCCAAACCCTTGCGCTTCCAAAAGAATTAAAATCTGAGCCCTGAACCTTCAGCCCTTGACCCTAAATCCCTAAACTCCAACGCCAACTTGCTACAAAACCCGAATGTTTATTCCTTAGGGTTTAGGGCTAGGTTTTTTTTTTAAAAAAATGTTTTTCCGGAATCACCAATCACGCAGGGTGGGAGCAGGAATGCATCATGAGCAGTGGGGTATTGGAGAAGCATCATGACACATCAGCACAAAAGTCAAAAGATATCAAAAACCCAGTCCTCAGACCCAAGGGCCCAGGACTCAGAACCAACTAATGTGAGTTCTGTCGTACCAACAGCTGACAACATTCCGCAAAGCTTCGCAAAGCGTGATCCAACCTAGATTCAACAACATCTAATCCAAATCCGAGCTCCCAACCCTCAACCCTAAGCCCTAAACCATAAACCCTAAAGCCAGTCCCACCGCCCCTCATGTCGCCTTGACTCAGCTTCTCCAGTGCCTCCGGAGTCTTCAGGCCGCATACAGCTTCCGCCTTAGTAGGGCTAGGGTTTAAGGTTGTATAGGGGTATTTTGGGGGATGGAAAAGACCGTGGGAACTACTGTATGACTTAGGGTTTGGGGTTTGAGATTTTAGACCTAACAATGGAGAATCGAATGGAAAAGAACACGGAAAGCGCAGGGAAATCCGGGATACATGGAGATGCTATCCCGACAGTATGCATGATAACTACCAATTGAAGGTATGAAAGCTGTCGTACTTCACGGTGCAAAGCTGAGCTTCCATGGCTGCAACAAGATCAGGATTGACAGCGGTAAAGGGGTTAGGGCTTAGGGTTTAGGAGTGTAGGGTGTAATTTATGTTGAAAAAGTTCGAAGTAGGGCTGAGGCTGAGCGTGCATGCTCAGCAAGCATGGTTGGCTTCAGACTTCGCTCGGGCCTATGCCCAAAAGCCTAAACCCTAAACCGGAGCCTAGGGCTCCAAGACTAAGACGTCGAAACTACTGGGGTACATACAAAACTGCAATCAGGCTTCAGGCCATCTACATTCGAGGGTTTGGAGTTTGTGGTTTAGGGTTTAGGCGCAAGGGTGGGCTTAGGGTTGTCATCAACCTACGGTGTACAGCTTGTTCCAAACGTCAGCATGACAGTGACGCTGGCAGCAACTGAGGTCTTGGTCATGTCTGGTCGTCTAGTGAATACGGCAGGTTGCAGTTGCAAGACACACCATCATTACAATGATCACGGCACCTTGTCTCCATGCTTAATAGCAATATAGTACATCGCTTGTAACAAACAGTGGTTCCAAATGCATTAAGCATTTCCCCCCGCAGTTAGTGGAACAATGGTTTGGCGCGGTGCTTCAATAACCTGCAGAAGATCAGCTTCATTTACAATCTATTTAGTCTATGTGGTACCTTGGCGGTTCTCATCTGAGAGTTTCGCAATTTGGGCGGCCCCATGAACCCCAGGGACACATGTAGGTATCAGAAGACAGTTATGGGAGGTCCGGTCCTTTCCAGGGATTATATAAGGTGTTAGGGTTTAAGTATTTGAAAAGTACACACAAAGAAAGCTAGAAACCCGGATAAGTAGAAGCTTGCCTCTGCAGCGTTGCCCTTGAAAAGGTCAATGTGCGGGAGCAGCTCGTTGACCTTTACCCTAAACCGCAAATCGAATTTACGCAACAACTGTGATTACGATTCAGGGTCCAGATTTCGCCCTTGACACCTAAGACTCAGGAAAGAAGTTTCCCATAATGTATCTAGGGTCTAGGGATTAGGGTCAGTCTCCTTCAGTCCTAACTGAAGCTATGTGGCACAAGGTCACAACACGTTCCCAATCTCTCCTTAATCATCTCAACTTGCTTCAGCAGTATTCAGCATCAACATGGGGGGGTCTCAAAAAGGAGCTCCATTTTGGGCGTCACCATCATACGGATTATGAAAATACATTGGCAGGTGTAGAGGAACCCCTGTTTGTTGAGTCTTCTGTGTTGTAGTGCAGGCTCCAGCTAGGTGAAAAAGTTGCGACACCGACGTCCTAATGCTGAAGGCTGAAGAAGTAGAATATCCCAAAATCGATTCTAGTTCTGTAGGCGCTTTATTAACTTCAAGCTCTCTGTCAAAAAAAATGCGTGCCCGGACATGTTTTGCGGTGTAGTGTAGGGCTCAGTTAGGGTTGAGAGTACACCAGAATAACACAACTTCTGCAAAAAGGCCGTCAAAAGGACCCATGACCTCCAGAATCCCCTTAAATCAGAGCCTGTTGAAGGCAAACCGTTGGCCGCTAAGCAGGACAAACAACGACTCCCTACAAGGAATTTTCCTCAGCTCAACGACTTACTGGTGGCTAGCAGGGTATGTATGAAGGGAATGGATCCTTTTGGTACAGCCGACGTTTATTCTCTACGAACCCACAAAAGCGTCTGCCACGCCGAAAGCCCTGCAGCAGCTTCGCCGTCAGTGCGATTTTTGCTTGATGCTTGCATCTGAGTATGCCTGGGGCTCCATGTCTATAAATAATACCTACATTGGGCCCCAATGTCTATAAATAGTACCTACATTGGGCTATTTGGAGCCCCAGGGTATGCCTAGCTTAAACATCCTAATGGGGCTCCTCAAGTCATGATCCAGTCTATTGCGCATTGCCGCGTACGGCAAAAGTGCCGAGGTGGCTTTGTCGGGATGCCTCAACCCGTAAGGAATTGACAACTTCATGAATTCTTACTGTTGTATTTATGCGACAACGGCCTCTGGATTCTTGGCTTCCTGAGATTACTTGGTTGCTGTTAAGGAACCTAAATTAAGTTACCCTATTGGGTATACATAGTATTTAATATGGTCTTCCCCAATAGATTAGCGTAAATGAGATTAAGTTCCGCAACAGCAACCCAGACTAGTCTGGATTCAAGCAAGAAACAGCTAGGCAGAGCCTGCGATGTCTGAACCCCCTAAACCCTAACCCTTTAGACTTGGCCCTCAACCCACAGCTCAGGAGACGGCGCCCGCCACTTGCCCGGCCTTGCAGTAAGTTAGGGTAGCTACACCAGTGAGAGGGCACCTTCAAAGAAACTTGGCCATGGGTCTGGGGTGAGAAAACCATATTCATTAATATTCATAACCATTATGGTAACTTAATCTAAGCTCCTTAACAGCAACCCAGCAGATACTCTGGGTTGTAGGGCACGCTGTAAACCGTAAACCATGGCACCACCAGGCTTCGGCTTCTCCTTCAACTCCCGCGATGTACGTGGATTGTTGAGTGTGGGTTTAGGGTTTAGGGTTATTCCCGACCCAAGATAGCAATGAGACTTGGGGTTTGGGGGTCATAGGAACGTTCTGTTGAAGTTTCAATGAGGTCATTTCGGATGTCGCGCAGTAGGGTGGGGTGATACTGACGTCCAGAGTTTGATCATCGCCGTCTGTCGTGGCTTCTCCACATAGCAAAACTGGCAGTTTCTTGTTGTCTTTGAATGACTGTTGCTTCACGAATTTGAGGCTAGTCTCGCTTATAGCCTGAAACGCCTGCGAACCCCAGTAACCAAATACAAAGCCATGTACGGTAAAGAGCTGTCAGTTGGGTTCGGAGAAACTATGACAAACATTCCGGCGTGCTTCAAAGCCGACAAAATGCCCAGGCGACCTATCAAACCGTGTCCTACTCCAGGACCTTCCTTGTACCCTGAATTGGGGATATATCTTCCCTAATAGTGGTTACTTAGGCCCTAATAGAGGGTAGGAGGAGGGTCTAGGTTGAGAGTGGGCGTTGGGGTACATTGCAACCTTCGTAAAGGCTTGAGGATTGCTGATCGAGAGCTCTATTCATTATTAGCTCCCTTTTGCAGAGATTTTGCACTTGAATCCTAGAGGTATACGCTATAGGCCCATGTCCATGAAGAGTAAAGCCCTCGTGCCTCGTATTCAGCAATCACAAAATACCTTCTTACTTTGGCAGCAATACGGGTGCATACGCATTGGAAGCTTTTGGCCTCCGCGAATAAGGATGCAGCCGAAACGTTCTTCGTAGGTGCGTGCTTCGATGCCCATGGCCATGCGATAAGAAAAGCTGCGCACGGCTTCGGAAGCTTGTTTAGGGCCTGTGGTTTGCTCCATAGCAACAGCTGCCCTCAGCTATATATATATATATACATATATAGTTTTGTAAGCTCTGATGAAACAAGTTCCATGCGAACAGAAGAAACAGCTTCCTTTTCAATTGACAAGTGCTTGCGCTAGCTGCCCTTACGTGGCCATCACAAGGCCCAAGATCTTCCTCCCTCTTCCGTAGAAAGCATAACCGTCATATCTTCTGTGCAACTTCACTTTGATGCACATCCCCACCGGATTTTGTGAGCGCGTGAGTCTGGAGGACTCCTGAACAAGACACCCTGTGGCTTTCCGGCATTTCCCTATTATAGCCGAATAGGTCGATCTCATTTCTTGCTAGGCATAACCACCTAGACCGCAGGTAAGTGGAGTTGCGAATGATGTCTCGCAGCACTGTATCTCCCCAAACAGAACTCTTCGCGAGAGCGTATGTCGAATGCTTACTACAAGAACACAATCGTACATAGGGCCCCTCGTCTTGAGAGCCGTATAGCTTATAAATTAGTAGGGTCTAGGGTTTAGGGTTGAGGGCTTGGGGCACTTATAAACACAAAGGGCTTGGGGCAGCCTATACATTGTCTACATGATAAAGACTTTAGGCCTGAAGAGCCCAGCAAGAACCGTTCCAGGCCTCGTGGCCCTGAATGTCCACAGAGACGGTCAGGCGGTAACCGGGCATTTGCGTCCGCAGGAAATCGATGAACTGAGACAGGATACGGTTAGGGTTTAGGGTGAGACAACAAATACCTGCACGAGCCAAAGTACCCTAAACCCAGAGAAGCCCTAAACCTTGCGAATTATGGCACTTTAGTATATCAAAAGCTCATGCACAGACATGTCATATCAGTAACATTCAGGCCAAAACCAGCTTAGTCGCGTGAATGAAGGATGTCGACACCAAAAACCTTCCACTCCATTCTTGTTCTTGTCCATCTTGACCCAAGACCTGCCTGATTGTTGAACCCAATCCTGCCTCTGGGAGATCACGCCGAAGGGTGGCGCTGTAGGAGTAGATACCTCCGAAATGAACATGGACCTCAAGGCAGGGTGGAGGGACCCAAATACTAATTGAAAGAAGGGTGTTTGGGTAGATTATGTTTCGGTTCAATAAGCATGGTAAGGCGATAAGTTTGTTAATTCAGGCCTCTGCACTCGAGTTTACTGGTGTACCACTTGCTGCTTCAGATGGCCGCAGGTGAATTGCATTTGAACCCTGAACCGTGACCCTCTGCAACGTTGAAAGGCTGGTGTATTTGAGTTAATTATGGTCTAAACTCCTAAGGAGTTTAGACCATAGCTCATTTGGGCATATGCCGGAATCATGGCCCTCGAGGTCCCCATACTGATCCAGGGTACCCCTTTTCAGGGCGAGCCTACACTAAACACAAAATCCTAAACCCTAATTGTCATGGGGACTTAGCAAGTAGGTTAATGATGAGGATAATTGCTGGTCATTATATGGCCTCTGTTATAGGGGCTATTAACCTACTTCCTAGATCCCCATGCCCTAATTTCTGGCACATCCCATCTCGGCCGCTGGCAGGCCCCTTTGCTTCTCTAACAGCCTCCCAGGAAAAAGGGCCAGGGTTTAGGGGTTTAGGATTTGGGGTTTAGGTAGATATGGGGATTTCCCCAAATTAGGGGGTACCGTATTGGGACCCTGTAGCAAGGCTGCAGCATTTTGAGGTCTATATTCTGGTGATCCAATTTATGGAGACTTCTTGGAGGGTCATGGGGACTTAGTAAGTAGGTTAATAAAGAAAAAGAAAATGAAAACTACTATATATTACTCAGAGTTTAGGGTTCAGGGATTAAGGTTTAGGGGTTTAGGGTCATGGGGACTTAGTAAGTAGGTTAATGATGGGGATAATTGGGAGATTCTATGGCTTATAGGGGTTCTTAACCTACTTACNNAAGTCCCCATGACCCTCCAAGGACCATAGCCATGTTGCATCATATCACCAAACCCCAGAAACCTCAAGCATTTTGCCTGTAACTTGCTGGCCTTGGCTTCGCTTGGAATATGGAGTTGTATAGGCTCTAATGTGGCGTCGTTATTATACAGGAGGTGAGAACAATGAAAATTTCCCGGGCCAGAAAGTCCTGAGATTTGTGAATGTTAAGTTGATTGTAATTGCAAACCTATGAATTATTTGATTTGCCTATGCACATACTAGGCGTTCAGGGAATGCTTTTTATGAAGAGGCGGCTTGGCAATAACAGATTCTCTGTCTATAAGTCCATAAAAAACAGCTTTGCAGTTGATATCAAATCAAGAGAATATTTCTACTCTTACTCTTAATTACTCCTACGCATACCCCTACTCTCACTGCTACTCCTACTACTCGTGCTCCGACTCCTACTCTTACTCCTACTTCCTCTTCCGAGAGAGAGCTCATGCCCCATCTTTTTTTACAATCCCCGATTTTTCGGACCTCTGTTTGAGCTTGGTCCGCTCGAATCGCGGGGGGGCGGGGGGGGGGGGAGCATCATAATGAACATAATGTTACGGGCCTAACTGCACCAGCAAGCCCTTAACCTTATAAGGTGTGAAAAGAAAGCTCATTTACTTCCCGCCTCCACCAGCGGCTGGAGCTCCCCAATGCCGAGCTCCGCCGCAGCGCCCGACGCTGTGACGAAGGCACGGCCTGGAGGGCCCGAAAGCACCTGATCGAGAATCAGCTGGAAGAGAAAATTGACACTGAAGCTGAAGCCAGGACTATGTAGGGTTCATATTAAGTTTAACGTAGCAGCCTGAATAGTTAGCAATACAGAATGCTGTCCTGTGATCAACCCTCTCTGATTGTATAACTCGATATTGCACAGTACAGCCACCGTGTTCGAACTGAATAAGCCCGAGGAAAGCTTTGCATGGGCATCACCTCGCCATGTCGGGGAACTCCTGAATAATCATGCTTGACAAACAAAGCCGCTTTTTAAATCAAACCTCAGGTGGGGGGTGACAGAGAATTCGGAAACCTCCACAAGAGTTGCAAAAGTCTGCTATACTATGCAGCAGGCCGCCCACACAAACATATGGCGATCACTGAGAGGAAGTCACCGACACAACAACCTTAAGGGTCCAGGCACCCAAATGCTAGGGTTTTAGGTGCCGAGAACCATGCAGATCATAGCATTTGGGACCGCAAGCCCCTTACGTGGGTACCTGGACCAAGCGAATGCAGCTGCTTCAGGCGGTCACTGCAGGATGTTCACATGATTCCCTGCATGCCCGCCACATAACCCATCTACACGTCTGCTTCTTGTCCGTCAGACACCACTGGAATTCCAATCGATTTCATGTTTAAACCGTGCGCCATCTCTTCAAAATGACCGCCTCTCCATTCCTAATGTCTGTCATTTCGTCAATAATAATTCGTGATCCTTCAAAACAAACCTGGAACATCCTGGAGCCACGTGTAGGCCCTAAACACTTAAATTCTGAACCCAGCCCCACCTACATTTCCTAGTAAGGTCTAAAGCCATGCACCCCTAAACCCCCAACCCCTGACGAATCCTGAACTGAAACCATCGAGACCGTCAGCGTCCCTTAGTTCCCCTAGGGGTCCAAGGACCTAAATAATGGGGTTTCAGGGCCCAAATACTACAATATTAATGGTATTTGAACTCAAAGTACTACAATATTAGTGGTATTTGGGCCCTAAATACTACAACATTAGTGGTATTTGGGCCCTAAATACTACAATAGTAATGGTATTTGGGCCCTAAATACTACAATATTAGTGGTATTTGGGCCCTAAATACTACAATATTAATGGTATTTGGGCCCAAATACCACAATATTCTTGGTATTTGGGCCCTAAAACCCATATCTTTTGGGTCCTTGGATGCGTAGGGTTCTCTGAGTGAGACACGAGGCATGAGCCGGTGCAGAGGGCGGGGCAAGCTACTACGTGGCTCTTGATCGATGCCGACCTGAGAAGCAATGTTTTTAGGCTATCAGATGTGGTTTTAAAGTAGAAGGATGGGATGCGATGGTCAGGGCTGAGAAGATGTAGGGTTGCTCTTCGATTTTTGTCGTTCCACCCTTCGACACTTAAGGGATCGCCTGAAAACCTTTGGCATCGATGCCGCATATTTCAGGCTGGGAGCATGGGCCACAGGTCTCTGAAAGGTCAAGACGCTTGGTGTTTAATTATGGTCTGCGCTCGATGTTCAGCTTTGAGGCTGTGTTTCAAGCTTCAGGCTATTCTAATTCTAGAAGGGGTCAAAGTTTTGTCCACCAGCTGCACTGCTGGGTTGCTTGTCCGGACTGAGACGGGGGACAAAAAAATGAGCATTACTACCAGCCAGAGGACATCCTGAACACGAATTCCTTGACACGTAAGACCAACAATAAACAATACAGGCAGCAGAAAACAAATGAGAGAAGACGCTGGCCAACAACTTGTGCACCGCAACAAGATAGTTTCCAAAAATGGGGGAGAACCAAAATAGACCCCAAAGTTCCATAATCCTTATTATAGGGACCCCCAAGAAGGTACCCAAATAGTAGTTTCCGTCTTATTTTCCATTATCCAAGTTTTCCCCCAAGAAAACATAGGTACCCAAATAATCGTTTCCATTTTATCTTCCATTATCCCAATATTACCCCAAAATACTACAGGGACCCGCCAAGAAGGTACACCTTTTTTGGGGGAATCCGACACCATGCTTGCGTCCCCATCTCGATCTTGTAAATTCCAGTCATCTGCTTGCAGCCGCATAGGCATTTGATGAGCTATAGTCTAAACTCCTCCTTAAAGAGGGTAGAAGATAGGGAATATACGGGGGGGGAGTATTACATGGGCTACTTATTCAGGGGGATACTAGGATTTTAGGCTATAGCTCACATGTAGGAGCCAGGTTGCAGGTATGGCGCTGGTACTCTGGGTTGGCCCCTAAAACCCTTTGAAAAATGTTAATATAGGGTCCCCTATTAAAGCCATTAGGGAAAACATTAAATATCCCAGGGGCCTACCCAGTACTAGATGATTCTTAAGAGGGAATGAAGGGATGAGAGCGGATTGGAGGGGCCAGCAATACAGAAACCCATGCCTCCATTTCCTGCTGAGATCCGGTAAGTGCCTGAAGACCCAAACGAAGGGTTTTGAGTTGAATGGTTTGGGATTCAAAAGTTGGGCTGTGGCGTGGTAAGGGTCTTCATGAACATTCTGCGTGTCACGTGTTGGAGAAACTTAAAACTGCGAGCAGCACCTTCCCAGAATTGACCAACATCACCCCCTGAACCCTATACTACAGGGGCCTAAATAATTACCAATATCATTTTGAGGTCCATTTGAAATACCGTAGACCATAATTATATAAGGAATATGGAGCCATAATATTGGTAATTATTTCGGCCCCTATATTAAACCCTAAACCCCAGAACGAATACCATGAATGGCAACCCCAAACCTATGACTAAGGCAATAGCCCGAATCAAATTGAGGGCTAAGGGTACCTGGAAGATCCTAGAGACCTGTACAGAGATGGTGAAAGGATGGGTCCATCGGAATTTTAACAGTTTGTTTGAGAACTGCTCCTCTTAGAGCGTCGCATAAGGAAGCCCAGACACTGTATGTGTGCCTCCAGCATCTTGCCGAAGACATCTTGGCCAACGCATGCCTTACGCTTCTGTCACCATAAAGTGCAGGAAACGGATTATGGTATTTGAAATATTCCCATTCAATAATCTGCGCACCTTTTCGGGGGCAGCGACTGCACTGTTTGTGGGGCTGAAACAGTCTGTTTCATAAATGGGGTGCCAGTATAACAAGAATTACATCGTATCTTCAGGAATGACCCAGCTACCTGCAGCTTGATGTGCCGGAGTTATCCACGCCTCAATCGCCGTTAGTAATCCGTTGGAGTGGCTCCTGTTGGGACAGGACTCATGAAACAGGCTAGGAAGCCCTATAATCCCAAAACCCTAAACCCTATAACTCCTAAACCCCAAACCCAGCAAACAAGCTGCATAGAAGGCGACTGCACTTCTCGCGCCGAGGATAGAGGCGAGATGCACGGCCGTGTTGAGCGCGCTTCCGCCTGTTCGGGCTTTGGAAGGACTCAGGGGGTTCAGGGCTTAGGGCTGTGACTTCGAGGCTGCGAGTTGAGGGTGTGCGGTTCAAGTCCAGGGGTGATAAGGCTCGTTTTCGTTTCCCACAACCACGCCTCAAGCCGAAACCCCAAATTGCCATATGAAAATCTGTGGATACTAAACTCCTGCATGACCATAGCCAGCAAGCATGATGTCCTCATGTTCGTCCTGTGTAGCTTAAAGGTTCAAAGCTTAAGTGTTGAGCCATTTGCAGCTGCCTTAAGTGCTGAGCCGTTGAGCCATTTGCAGCTGCCAAGGATTGATGTCTGAGCCACAAATAGAAACTAAAGCCTTTGCGCTTGGGTTAGTCCGGAGAAAACTTTTTTTGCGGTGGTGTTGTACACGCTTGTTTGGCGCCTTCGTCTTGAGGTTACTCGTTCTCTTACAAAGATTTTGCACTAGAACACCTTTCAACTCATGGCTGCAAGAGAATGACCTAGATGCTCTACGCAGTGTGCATGCGAGCATGTATGTCAAACCCTACCTACACAAAGGCCCAAACCCTCAAGGTAAGACCCACAAAAAACGTGCTCAACTTGCAGGACCAAAAAAGTACAAATCAGCAACCGTGCTCCGTGCTATCTCCCCCAAAAGAGGCTGCGCCAACAAATTCGGTGTAGTCCTAGACTTACACCCACGAGCCGTCAAGTCAGAAAATCGAATGGCGTTCGAACGTCAAACTATGGCAAGAAACCTGGAATAAATCGAATGGTGCAATTACTGGATCTGGAGCCACATGTCTTAGCAGTCCGGCTCACAAAAACACTGCTAACTGGATGCATCCTAAGCAGACCCACCAAGTGCCTATCTTTGCGTCAATGCTGGAGGCATCTGCATCTCCGTCCAATGGTGGCAATCGACTGGGCTGCTGCAACCAGAAAAATACATCCAAACCCTTAGGCCCCAAGTTGAACCTACTTTAGGGTTTGGGGTATAGGATAGTACAGGGTTTGGGGTTTAGGGCCTAAGTTTAGGGGTGACAAAAAGTGAGAATTGACATGCCATTAATTGTAGATTTGCCGGGAGCTAGCCGTAAACTGGCAGCCTAACGCAAACTATCAAATGGGTCCAGGGAAATAACAAAAACTCCTTAAAGGGGTAATTATATAGTGGATTCTATAGGGGGGTGTTATAGGAGTTACTGGGGGTGTAACGAACCACCTCAGGATAGAGAAGCTGTGGCAGACCCGCATGGACTCCAGTCTGATGGGCAGAGTGATCTAAGCTCTTCTACCTAATCTTTTCTCGGGGAACCAGGGAATGGATCCATATGACCTACAGTCTAAGCTCCTAGTATCTCCCTTTATAGCCCCTATAGTAGTCCCCCGTATAATCCCCTACATACCCCCCTTTGAGAAGTTTAGACTATAGCTCATATAACAGCAGGTCATCGGAACCACCGCAAACCCTCTGGAATATACCGAACTCAGGGCTCTGCTGAACTAAATCTGAGCTGCAGCCTGAAAGTAGGAAACCTTGCACGTTCAAAGCATATCCTGTGACGAGAATGCCGTCGAAGCCCTTACACTTTCACCCTTCAAGGCGCATACTAAACACCTTAATAGGGGGGTTATGTAAGGGATGGTATAGGGGAGTATTATAGGGGCTATAAGGGGGATACTAGGAGTGTAGACAAGGGCTCATCTAGAATATGGTTTAGATCAAGCAATCATGCCACGTCGCCTGAGGCCGCTAGCAATAACATCCACCAGCGCATCGCCCACAACGTGAAATTCTGGAGAAGCCATGGCCACGATTGACCATTTGGTGGTTTCCAGCAATTAAGACTTCCTTTGGCTGCGGAAGTAGCATTTTTTCGGGGTACATTAGCTGAGGGAAGGGTTTGGGATTCAGAGGGGAAAATTCCAGGGTTGTAGGGCTTTGGGTCTAGGCCTGCGGTAATGCCATAAGTGGCAAATGCAGTATCGAAGCTTTATTCAAGTGCCTGACGAGCCATAAAATAACCCAGCTGTAGCCAGATTACCTAAACCCTCAACCCTAAAGCCTAGACCTTAGGGCTGCCATGTTTTCCTGGGCTTCTGCGCTCTTTCATGCAAGATGCTTTCAAGCAACAGTCAGGATCCACGACCCTTCCGAAACAAACAGGCATCTACTAGGGTTTAGGGTTTAAGGGTTTAGGGTGAAAACAAGCAGGTATCTACAACAAATGGCGGGGCCGCTCAAGCCACCAAAGTGATATAGCCCACCTTTTGACAACTTCCCAAACACTGGCAAAAGCATACACAAAACTTCAAGAATAAGCAACAGGGAACAAGACTGCAACTTAGCCAACCGCTTTTCAAACTCTGGCCTGGTAGATAGGAAAACAGATAAACACAGTAAACCGTAGTAGAATTTGCAGGAACAGTCATAACAGTAGTCATCAAAACCCTAAACCCCTCACAAATTAACACCTATGTGATCCCCATTTCACCCTTCTTTAGCCAACCCTGAAGCGAAGCTAAGATGAGGGCGGCTCATCATCAGAGCGCTCCTTGTAGGGCTTCAGCAGATGCTTAGGAGTGACAATAAGGGTTGAGGGTAAGGCCAGGTCAGCTATAGTCTAAACTCCTTGACGAGGCTTTTTATAGGGGATTATGTAGGGGACCATGATATGGCGTCTAAAGGGGGATACTAGGAGCTTAGACTATAGCTCAGGCGGGGTAGGACATACCTGGAACTTCAAAATGCAACTTCTCTTTGTGCTTGGAGTGGTCTTCAGCTAGGCTTGTACCGGTTGGAAGATGGGAGCCCCTATAGTAAGGGCATTTGGGTCCCCCTACTATTCAGGCGAGAGCCCAGGTCATATGTTTTAGCTTGAGGCTCTCGTTGTCCTGCTGTACTTCCAGAGCTCAAAATAGTAGACTTCAAGCCCTTGATCCTCAGGCCTACGTCCTAAACCCAACGCTCTGAACGGAATCCATTCTCCCAAAACCCTAAGCCCTCAACCCAACCTTCCGCAGCTTTTTCTGCCAAAAAAGCCATTAAGCGGTCACGGGGAAGCTCGCCTGAAGCGGATGCAGTAGTGCTTATGAAGAGAATATTTCTGTAGCACTATTGTTACCATATTTATTGTGTTAATACCATTATTGCGATGCATGCCACTATGCCTAGGAACTCCTAAAGCCCTGCATATTACCCTCAACCTTCGGAGTTGTGGGAGTGAAGTGTCAGAAGGTCACGCTCATGTTCTAACACCAACAATACTTGGAGGGTCATGGGGACTTAGTATGTTAATAATGGGGATAATTGGGATTACCGTATGGGTTATAGGCTTCTTAACCTACTTACTAAGTGCCCATGACCCTCCCAGTACTTAGACGCTCCCATGTAGCTTAGTTGGAAGCCAGTCTGAGGGAGGGGTCCAGAAATGAGAGGCCCAGATATATGCCGAGATATAGTATCATTATCCTAAACCCTAAGCCGAGGTGACTGCAAAACCATTGACCATCCAAGATTAGGGCTACTGTTTCAGACCCGAAGAAAATCACGCTTAAGTTGGTTCGGATTGGACCATATGATATCCCTAAACCCTAAACCCTAAAACCTGTGTCTATTGCAGAGTAGCTGGGACCACTTGAAAGTGATGGTCACAAGAACCGCCTTCCAAGAGAAGATGCCAGAGCTCACAGCAAGAAATTCGCCTCCCCCTAATATTCAACCTCCCCGCAGGGTTTTGGGTTTAGGGAGTTTAGGGTTCCCGTCCCCCTAATATTAAGCCCCCCCACCCCCCCTAATTTTCAATACTCCCAGTTTATCCGGGGGGGGCATAATAGGGGGCGGAAATTAGTAACAACCCATGTCATAGTATGAGATGTAGTGTCTTCTGGCATCGTCTCGTGCTGGGAATTTGCGCGCCATACAGCTTCTCATGCAGGATGCAGGAGCTTTGGCATGGCGCGGTCTAAACAGGCCATGAATTGAAGTGACAGCAGCAGAGTGTCTCTTGACGTTGCGGGTGAGAGCTCAATTGCAGGGTCATTCCTGATCATGGCACCCTAAACCCTCAATCCTAGAACCCAACCAAGGAGGATCACAATTTCTTATAAGAAGCTACACTCCACTTGTGGATCCTGGCCGGAATCTACCACTCAACCGAGAAGCAGGATCTCCAAGTTTCACGGACCATCTCAAGAGGGTGAATGTAATAACATCCATAATGAACTCCCTGGTGTCTTCTGGAACATAGGAAATGGGTTATGACAACCTGGCTCAAACTCGACATGTCAGTTCCTGCACACACCTCGACTCTGTTGACCTTTAGCTCCCAATAGCCCACTCTAGGTATGATACACTTTAGGGCCCAAGGTAGATAGATTATCATTTGTTGACTTAGAGAAGAAAGCAAGAGTTTGGTAGTTTAGTCCCCTCTTGCTGCGCAAGCACTTATATGTAGCACAGCTTCCTTTGCGTGACTGGACTCAAAGAAAAAGCTTACACAAAACCTTTCAAGCAGGGCTTGGACAGTATCATGTTGGCACGTCACCAAGCCTACATGACTAAGGTGAATGGACGCTGCTAGAGGCATGCCAATGTTTTGCTGACACTTTGTGAGACCGATATGTATCTGACATTGCTTCCAGAAGCATTCCGCCAACCGGAGCGCATCAGTCAGCAAATTCAGAACTTTGAAAGTGGCGAATGCACGTCTCATGCAACGACCTGGCGAAAGTTTGAGTCACAAAGCGCCATCAGGAGGCCCGATGCCTCCTGAACAATTATGGCGAAGTACATGCACTCAGTCGGAGCCTGACTCATCCCGGTCAGTTTCGCCGATGTGCCCGAGCACACTGGGCGTTGGTCGGTTGCTGCCTGTGCCGAGCTCAAAAATGCCTTAGCTTGAACCCCGAGCTCATCTACAAGCCTAGATGACGCTGATAATGCTTGGACTTGCAGTCTCGGAGCTAGAAAATTGTTGGTCACTGAGGCTTTCTTCTGGGCATTGTGGACAAGTAGTCTTTCCCACTGTACCCGACACAAGACCCCGGGCCTCTCAAGCCCGGAAAGTAGGTATGCGCAACACCCGAAACCATAAACCCTAAACTATACAGCTGGCTGTAGGGAATGAAGGAATGCATCACGATAGCTGTCCGTCACTTCCACTTTGAGAACCCGTGAACCCTACATGGTAATTTCCATGTCATTTTCCGATTCTTGTCCATTTTATTCTCCGTTAATGTGGTTATACAGAGGAGCACTAAAGCCTAAACCCTTGTACATCGGATTTTCCAGTACTGTGGTCTTATACACCCCGCTACAACCCCTATTTAACCCTAAACCCTAAACCCTGAAACCTAAACCCTAAACCCTAAACCCTAAACCCTAAACCCTTAAACCCTAAACACGGCATGATGAGCCTGGGGGCCGCAATGCCTTGAGATGTAGCCAGACGAGCCGGGCGTCACGTGCATGACGCTTCCTTTGCTTCCCCAAAGGGTCCATGTAGGTATATGGAATATACTTAGGGCCCAAGGGGCTTCCCATATACCTACTTTAGGCCGCAAGTATGTACTATATAGCTACATGGACCCTCTGGGTTCACGAGTTAAGGACCGGGCTGCAGGGTGTAGATCTAATAATTAGGCACGTGGCTTTCGCGAACCAGTACGACAGTAAAGTATTGGTTTTTGGGTAAGTATGTGATTATGAGGTACTTGTACCCTTAGGATTCTCCCTTGTGATTTTCTGGCTCCCAGTTGAAAGTTTTGGTTTTGTAAACACCGCCTTGTTGAAGGACTTGAAGGCTTTGAAGGAATCGTCTCAATGTGTTGAGCTACACGGTAGAAACTTGCACGAAAGCACTTGTAGGGTCATGGGGACTTAGTAAGTGGGTCAAATACCCCCTATTAGCCATATAATA